GAAACAAGGATTATACAGCAAATAAATTTACTTTTCAACGCAGTAAGTTACTACATGTATCCTGCGCTAAAAAATGTTTAACTCGTCAATTTATTTATTATAAAACACTCCTGCTACTGTAGCATTTTCAGAATTTTTACCTCTAGAGTACGATTAATTAAAAGTAAAAAGCTTTTAAGTTAAAATAGTGATTTAATTTAATTATTGAAAGTTAAAATTGTCGCTTTCATAAATTTAAACGATTATTGGATGAATTCTGTGGTATAAAAATATTTGCCTCCCAATATCATTCTGCTCAAAATCACGTAACAGAAACAGGCTATTAAGTAGAGGTGGAACAAATGACTTATTTTATTTTATAACTATAAAAAAGTATTAAACTTGTGCCTCTCATTCAACATGTTAGTATTAATTCAACGAAATTATTGTAAAAATAAAATTAATTTTACGATAGACCCAAAATACTGCGTCTCATATTTATTGTGTTTAATAAAAAAATATACTAAAGTGTTCGAACTGTCTTTTATTTTCAATATACCCTTTTCAATATATCTTATATTAGTACGTTGATATTAGCATATTTAGAAAGAAAAATATAGTTCTGATATGTTGAAGTTATACGTACTAAAAGGAGACTTTTTAAAATCAAAAGAGTTCCTAACTGTAAAGTGTGAGCTTCATCCCCAAAAACCACCCCCAATACGCACTGCGGTGGTTTTTCTCGTTTTTTTCGAAAACCATTAGTCGCACAGAAAATTTTATTCTTGTCAAAATATTCCTTATAAAATTTGCTACAAAAGAGGTTCTATTTATTATTTATATTTATCCAATGCATTTCGAGCAATAACCGTTTGAAAAATGGAGTACAAAAAAAATACAGGTCGCCTTTCAAATTATAGTCTCCCAAGGTATTTTAACGTGCTAAATATACACGCAACAGATAGTGTCAAGGATGGAATTATTCGATATATAAAATAACATATTTAATATTAATATATTTCTTAAATTAATAATTCGATTGAAAGGAAGTATAAAATAATTAAAGTTCATTGGCATTTACGCAACAAAAGTAAAGTTTTAAAAATCAAAGTTATAAGCATAATTGGCAATTGCGAAAATATTTCCTTTCAATACTACGAATTTATAAAATCAACTGCATCTTTTTACACAATCTTGTTTGCTGATGTTCAAATTATTCGTACTGCCAACAAAATATCTGAGAAAAATGAACAAGTTCTAGTCGTTGGACAAGATGTCGATCTTGTTGTTTTATTAGCAGCACTTTCCCCCGATGAAAAAGACATTCTTTTTCTGAAAGAAGCCATAGGTAATGTGAAACAACGAATGTATAGTTCGAGAGACATGCAGTCATCCAGTATTATAGGTAATTTAAAAAAATCAATTTTATTTATTCACGCTATTAGCGGGTGCGACACAACATCAGGATTTTTTGGAAAAGGAAAACAACACGTACAAATATTTAATAAAGAAAAAGACCTTGATACTATCGTTGATATTTTTAACAACGCAAAGTCAACACCTGAAGAAATTGAAAAAGCTGGAGAGACGTTTATACTGAAACTATACAAACTTCAATCATCTGAAGGGAGCCTTAGTGAGCAAAGATACGCTTGTTTCAATAAGTTAGTTGGTCAAGCAAACAGCACGGTTAAAACCGGCATGAAATGTACAACTATGTGCGGAACCTGTCGTGAGCAAAGTTGTTCGAATACTGAGCACATTCTAGAAACTATAGACGATGACAATATGTAGATGAAAGTATGAATGTTAGTTAATTGAAATAGGCAATGTTTTTGTTTATATTATACAGTATTATATCTGTTGCGTGTATATTTAGCACGTTAAAATACCTTGGGAGACTATAATTTGAAAGACGACCTGTATTTTTCTGTACTCCATTTTTCAAACGGTTATTGCTCGAAATGCATTGGATAAATATAAATAATGAATAGAACTTTTTTTGTAGCAAATTTTATAGGGAATATTTTCGGTAAGTATAAAATTTCTGTGGGACCAACGGGTTCTGAGAAAAAAACGAAAAACCATCGAAGGGCGTATTAGGGGTGGTTTTTTGGGATGAAGCTCACACTTTAAAGTTAAGAACTCTTTTGATTTTGAAAAGTCTCCTTTTGGTGCGTCTAATCTCAACATATCAAAACTTTATAAATTTTTTCTTCTATTCGGCTATTTTAGGTCTAATATAAATATACTATATTAGAATAATTGATGCGGGGGCGTTTGACAATATACCACATAAGGTGGTCAGGCGATCTCTAGAAACAAGAGGGGTGAACAGAACTATTATTCGCTGGTTTTGGGAAATGCTGTCAACACGAACAGCAGAGGCTCAGATGGGCACCAAAACTGTAGCTGTTAAAACAACGCAAGGAACTCCACAAGGTGGAGTAACCTCCCCTTTGCTGTGGAGCTTGGTAGTGGATGAACTACTAGACGAATTAACTCTAGCGGGAATACACTGCATTGGGTATGCAGATGACATAGTCATCATCGCTCGGGGGAAAAGGCACCCTGTGTAATATTATCCAAAGACGACTCCGTATCACTGAGAGATGGTGTAGGACTGTCGTGCTGAGTATCAACTCAGACAAAACCGCGATAGTGCCATTCACCAGAAAGCGAAGTCTGAAAAACTTGAAAAGAATTCAACTAGATGGAAAGGTAATACTGCCAACACAGGAAGTTAAATATCTGGGAATAACCCTGGACAGTAAACTCCTGTGGAACAGGCATATTAAGAACACTACCAGCAAAGCCATAAAGGCTCTCATGATATGCAGAAGACTGGCCGGAAATAGATGGGGCTGCTCCCCTAACACTTTGCGCTGGATGTATACCATGATAGTAAGACCCATGATTACTTATGGAGCAGTTGCCTGGTTCACAAAACTAGAGCAACGGACGGCAAGGCTAAACTTGTGCAAAGTCCAGAGACTAGCATGCGTTTGTATCACAGGAGCCATGAAAACCTGTCCAACAGCAGCAATGGAGGTCATTCTAGATCTAACACCACTGCACATTGTCATTGGTAGAGATGCCCATGCGACAATGATTAGAATGGTCACTAACGGAATTAGAACTGGGAGAATTGTCAGATCAGGGGCTTGGAACACCCTCAAAAAGGAAATACCACTCCTGAAACTCCCAGTGGACGATATGCCAAGAACGTACAACTTTGAGAAAATCTCAATGTAGTATTGAGCAATAAGAAGGATTGGAAGAGCGAAACGCTTGCCCAGCAGTTAAAAGACCATACCATAACTTGGTATACTGATGCTTCCAAAACCAATACGGGAACAGGGATCGGAGTGTTTGCGCCGAGAGCTAATTACTCCGAACCAATGGGCACTTACCCTAGTATCCTACAGGCAGAAATCTACGCTATCGAGAGATGCGTACAACTTATCTTAGATAGGAACTATCGGAAACAAGAAATAGCCATCTTATCTGATAGTCAAGCAGCGTTAAAGGCGATCAACTCAGTATCAATCGATTTGAAATTGGTCAAAGAATGCATAGAGAAGCTGAATAAATTAGGCAAAGAAAACAAAGTCCTCCTACACTGGGTGCCTGCTCACCAAGGGATAGAAGGCAATGAAAAAGCAAATAATCTAGCTAGGAAAGGAGCGAACACTCCACTAACTGGACCAGAACCGTTCTGCTTTCCAAGTGGTAACCAACTCAAGGCGGAACTCAAGAACTTGGAAGATTCCATCCGCAACCTGGAATGGAAATCTTGCAATGGTCTAAGACACTCGAAGAAGTTTCTGAGGGCTTATGATCAAGAAAAATCACAGATCTTCCTGGGTCTGAGTAAGAACAATCTTCGGATTGTCACGGGGTTTTTAACAGGACACTGTCTCCTCAATGAACACCTCAGTAGATTGAAACTAAGAAGAAACGGCGAATGCAGATTCTGTGGGGAAGATGGTGAAACACCAGTACACCTAATCACTGAGTGCGCCGAGACGACAACCATTCGTGCCATGAATTTTGGTACGACTGATATTGGAGATGGAGGACTACCCTCTATAAAACCGTCCCAGATACTGGCTTTTGTCAAAGCCCTGGGACTGTATGATGAGTTATGATTCAAGAAAGGGGGACACAATGGATCTGTAAGGTCGAAGTGATTAACCCCCCTCCCACTAATTCTAAATTCTAAAAAATTCTAATTCTAGAATAATTGATGTACTATATATGTATAAATATAGGCTTGATGATTTGCGTCTAGCCGTACCCCGTGTAACTCTTCAACCTCAACTCACAGTTCCGGCGCATGCGTATTGGAACGGCAGAAGAAAGTAATACTTCTATATAGTCTGGTTTCGAAAGCAGCGTGTAGCTCCATGGTTGAACTGCCGCTTCGGGAGCAACGGGACGATGCGATGGTTCGATCCCCGGCAGAGGCAGTTCTTTTCATTTTTTTACAGCTGTTTTTATTTTTTTGTTTGTTTAGAGCTGTTGGCAACAGCGATCAAAATACGCCGTATGTGTATTTTGGTTGCGTTTGTTAGGCGTATTTTGATTGCGTTTGGTTAGTCTTTGGTGAAAGTTTTTTTTTGTTTATAGATTACACGCGAAATACCCGATCGATTTTGTAGAACTGTTATACAGCACTGGCAATTGCACGATATGATATTCTATAGTAATTAAAAACTTTATTCTTAAGTGCACCGTTTAGATTTACTTAGTAATCGAAATAGTAGATTATTCTTTTTTATAATTATGGTGCCGTGCATGCAATTGCCAAGTCATTATAATTATTGTAGAAATAAAGATGACTAATATTGATAATAACAATTTATAACAAAATTGTTGAATAGGTACTTAAAGAGAGACACACAACTTTTTATAGCGGAGGAATTGTGCTGCGAGACTTGGCATTTTTTACATTCTATGTTTTTGATGGGATTTATCTTTCAGCTAATATTGAACTTCGAAATAATAACACATGTTTCAAATCATTTCTTTATTTTGATGTATGTATTTTAAATGTTACACCCCCATCCTAACTTCAAGATGGCTCTCATACCGAGTAAAAACGTGCAACTTCAAAGTGTTATACAATCTTTGAAATATAACATCCAAGTTCGGAAAATCAGCTTTTAATTGTTCCAACACTCGACACAATTTAGCATTCATATCCTTCTGCTCAGAGAGCACGTTTGGAATAAGCGCCTTTTTCGTATGTAGGAAAGGTTTTTTGTTCAAGCTCAAATCTCTGTAACAGTTTAGTCTCTTTTGCACCCTCAGAACCATTTCGTACTTTAACTGTCTGTTAGTTATGTGGTTTTCGATATCCTCTCTCAAAGATTTGCAGTACATTTCGCAAAATTCTATTTCACTTTCTGTTTTCTCTATTTGTTGGCTCAATCGTGTTTTCTCCACTTCAATACTAGCAATCTTCTCATCGGTTAATTTTATATTGTTTTCATGTTGTTTTATTTTGTTCTTGACATCGTCCAGTTTTCTTGTATAGTTGATTCGTGTTTTTTCTTCCGCTTCTTTGGATCGCTTCTGCCTAGCTTCGGCTACAGTGAAAATAGCATCCCTTCTTGAGACGCAGTGCTCCAAGTCCTTGATAAGTTTCTCTTGAGCTTTTTTCAGTTGACTGAAAATAATAAGTTTAAATATGAATATAGACGGTATAAAAATCTTACAATAAAATGGTGTTCCTCAAAGGTTATTGTAATTACTTAACGAGTTGTCACAATGCCCCTTTCCATTAAACGGGTATTTCTATACAATAGTGATTAATTTGTTTAATAATAATTAAAATTTTAATAGGTTTGTCCTTTGACTATATAGGGTGCTGCAAATTCGAGGTACGAGCATTGGTATCTCGGTAACCGTACCATCAAAACAGTGCATTTTTTTAAAAATCAGTTTTATTCAGTATTTCAACATCCCTGTGACAGATCTATCCTCCAATAGACTCTAAATATCAAATATAAATACCATAAAGAATATCCTAGGTTGATAAAGGTGTCATGTCGCGTACACCATCAATAATTTTTAGACGTGTTTTGTCGATTTACTCGAAACTTTAAAAAAGCGACATGACACCTTTATCCACACATGTCTTCAATTACTACCTAATGACAATAGCAGTTACCTAATGAGGTGAGACCAAGGAGCTAGCATATTTTATGAATATTTTGTTTTTTACTAAGATTTATGTAATGTAGTGTTTTGCTCGAAAATATAAAGAAGCAATAGCCAAACATTACTAATTAATGTAATATTTACTTATGAATTTGATTTTATGTAATTAAGTCTAATCAGAATGTAAAGAGTATTGTTCTTAATAATTCTAAAAAATTGTGTAACAGATTATTTCCTTTATATTATTATTTATATTATTAACAGATTATTTCCTATGTCCTTTACGTTCAAGTCGATGTTTTCGGTTATTAGTTTCGGGAGAGGGTCTTTTAGCAGGAAGTAATAAACAAACATCTTTCAAACGTGACTATTTTTAAATTCCCAAACTTATAGAAGGGCAAAGCAAATAAACTGTAGAACTTAGAAGTAAACAAAAAATTGTAAAGATAAACCGTAGATAAATACGCTGGGACATTGTAAAACCAATAACCACCCTTGATAACATGTAACTATCGCCGGATGTTTGTACAGGATCTGGGAACTTTAGGAAAGCACGTATCTAGACATAAACGAGAATTAAATACGTAAAATGGTCATAGTACTGCCATCTAACAACGGGAGGTCGAACCAATTTGGTTTGAAGGGCGGTGTCAAGCTGACCAATCAAGCAAAGAACAGTACCTTTAGGGATGATCCTATTGGCGAAGTACCGAATGCACCACCCTTCAACCCTGTAATGTTGGAACCTCGGGGCTGTTTTTAGGCAGAAAAGTTAGTTCGGTTTAAGTTTTTAAAAGACACGGTTCTCTCTCGGGTTCGCGAAATTCGGTAAGGTTCACGATGCGACCCCCTGTAGTTTTTAAGTCTGGTGTCTACTAATAGTATTTTTTTTATGTCCTTTTGTCAAATGTTTTTAATTTTCTTCTCTAAAATTATTTTAATGTGTTGTAGTAAGATTTAGTAATGAAGGTTCAATTGATTATGTAATTATCAGATTTTTCAACAAAGCAGACACCAGACAATTTTCTTGTATTTTTCCATCTCTTTTCCATTTTTAGTAATAACAAGTAATTTCGATCATATATATATTTTTTTATTTGTTCTTTATTTTCTTTTTAATATTAAATTTAAATGTTTTCTAAAAACTCGGCCGTTTTATTTCTATAGTAAAAAATAACCAGAGGGTTTTAAAAGTATATAAATAAGATCCTTATGAACGGGCAGAATATCTCCAGAGCAGTTCCGAAAAGTCTCGAGAAATGAGCTACATATTTACAGACAGAGGTCGGGCCGTAATTAAGGTAAGTTATAATAGATTTGAGAGACTAACAGGCACTAAGACAAAGCATTAAACATACGCTCCAAAGAGTCGGTGTACTTTTTATCCAAGTTTGCCTTCCGTTCAACTTAATTGTTTTTTCATAATTATAAAATAGTCACGCTACCCATAGACAAGTGGTTAATCCGAAAAGATTTGTCACAATTGTAATGATTGTTAAAAAGTGTTAAACTAGAAAAAATAGGCAATATCAATTAAACTTTTAGTCACGTAATCGAGGGCGCGATTTTTAAATTCATTAGTGCCAACCACAGACATATTCGGCGCCGGCCTGACTAACTGGAATTTAAATTAACCCTCTGGGGTTTCAGGTGGTAACTCTGTTGTAAAAAATGTTTATTACTCGTGGCAAGAGCTTTATGGTTGAAATATGGCAACCTCAGCCAGCTCGTCGATAGACGACGCGACGACGGGACGAGTCGGCAGAAAACCCTATAAGTGCATGCGTTCTCAATAGGCAGTGTTGCCATTCTGTTCCCCTATAAGTAACTGTCTAGTTAACAATCTGTATATCCGGACATTGTCATTGGTTTTGACACTTTAGTTTCGTATTCCGAGTTTTTGGTTCAAATGAATTGTTTTGTGATACTATATGTGTGGTGGTATAGTACTATGTTGTACTATGTGCAGTACAACATTGTTCTTTTTAGAACCTCTTTTAGTATGCTGCTGCTTAATAGCCGTTGCAAAAAACTCATCGCAAGCTTGTGCAAGTGGTCCTTTTTATCCCTTAAGTGCTGTTAAGGAGGTGAGTTTTGTTGATGTGAATAATAACTCTCTCTTTATATGTATATTTGTAATTAATTCATTTGTGTTTCCCAAAATATTTTGATTAAAAGAAAATATGTAAAAGCGGGCAACGCTGTGCCGGTCAAGCTTAATCACGTGACTAAAAGTTTATTTGGTACGATCTATACAGGGTGCCAGAAATAAGTGCAAGTATTTTAACTAGTAGTATAGTTCAACCCCAGAAACACGCCTATGAGGTTTTTTTCGCGAAAAAAAAATTTGAAAATTCGAAATTTTTTGAAAAAATTTTTGGACATTTTTTTTTAGTTTTTAGTTAAAAATATAATTTCTTGATAATATGGCAACATAGGTATTAGATTAAATTTACAAGAAAGAATGTCCAGAAAAGATCCAGTGGTCAAAATTTTAGCAAAACATAATTTTTTTAGAAATTTTCAAAGGAAAATTACTCCGTTATTTTGAACTTATTTGAAAAACAATAAAGAGAAAATATGTTTCTTTTATCGAGATCTACCACCCCTTAAAATACTTGCACTTATTTCTGGGACACGCTGTATTATTAACTGTGCTCCATTGAATCCTGTCTCACCTATAAATAACGGACATCCTTTGGATTTCTTGCCTCATATTCTCTACTTCGCCACCCTTATGCTGTACACCTCTTAGTTGCAATTTCGTCTCTTTGCCCAATTGAACTCTTTGCTCCCATTCCAATACTTCCCTGTTAACCTGTATTAACTCTTTACTTAGAACAATTTTTTCGTCTTCTATTTCGGCAATCTCTGCTTCCAGTTGAAGGCATTCCAGTTCGCAGTCTTTTAGCTTGCCTAAATTCAAATATGATATGATGTCATTAAACTGTTGTTCTACAACCGTTTAAATTAATTGTTTAGATAATGGGTTTCTCTAAAAAAATCCTATATGGGTATATTGCCACTTCAAGAAAATCCGAAATTAAATTCCGAATTAAAATACTTGTTTTTTGTAAACACTGCTGTGTTAATCCAACGGAGACTACTTGTAAGCAGTTAGGTTTACTGATAAACAAATCTGCCTAACGAACAAAAAAAAATGTTTAACGTTTCGAAAAGTTTTTACATGAGACGATCATTTTGGATAAAAACACTTTCCAGTAATCTTAGATGTATTTCTAACATTTTATTTTTTGAATTATCCTATTATCTCTATTCTACCGTATGATCGAAAAAAAAACGGCGTTCAGTTGGCTTGGAAATGACGATCGATGGTATATTTCCCATATAATTTTACATATAAAATGACAGCGATCTTCATTTCATAGCCATCACTGACGCCGTTTTTATTCGATCATACGGTATTATGAGCTACAGATTTTAAAATAAAGTACTAATATTTGTACAATCTTGAATTTGTTGAAAATGGAGCTCTCAATGTCCACCGTTATATTGAGGAGGTCCTCCAAGAAATTGTCGTTCCATTTGCTACTTTCATTGGAAATCAGTTTATACTGATGCATGATAATGCCAGGCCCAACGTTTCATTGGGTAACGAGTTAGGAGTATGAGTATTTAACGAGTGCCGGGATAAGGTTGCACTACAAAGAATGGAATGCCCTCCTCTTCCCAACCTCAATCCAATCAAACATTTGTGCGATGAACTTAAAAAAGCTGTTCGTCGTTGTCCTCTTCCACCACAACGGTGGAATTATTAAATTATTATTTTTTTATCTACATTTCTTAAAAATTTATCAAATAGTTTGTCTATTGAAAATTTTAAGGAAACCAAAAAACATTTCCGGAAAACAGAAAATTTCAAAAAAGTGTATTTCCTGTGTAAGCCCCAAAAAGGTGTATTTCCGTATACTTTTATGGATAGTTTGAAGAAATTAGATAACCTTTCACTTCCTACCAAAAATTAATTTTACGATGATTTAAATAATGAACATATTAACGACGTGGACTAACAAAGAGCTCAGGAAGTCTGGCGGTTATTCAATTATTGCAAAACTCTAGGAGAATATTCGGATTTATACTTAAAATCGGATACCCTTCTTCTGTGCGATGTTTTCAAAAATTTTCGCGACACAAGTTTAAAAACACATAAATTGGATCCGCTCCAATACTATACTTTACCGAGTTTATCATTCGATTCTATGCTACGACCAAGTTAGAGTTAGAGTTGTTGACAGATATAGATATGGTTCATTTTTTCAAAAACGATATTCGCGGTGGCGTAAGTCAGTGTTCGGAAAGAAAATATATCCATCGCGCGTAAAGAAGTTTCACTTCAATAAAAATAGCTTCGTCGCACAGCTAACGACTTACCTTCATATTGCGACTGCACATAGTAATTCGACTTATCCAAATCCAATTTCCTATCTTTCTTCTTCATCAAACTATCGCACAAGTTCGAAATTTTATTCTGCAAGTTATTTATATTGCGTACCACCATCCTCTCCTACCTCTTATACTCCTCAATTTCATTGCTATCTTTCAGATTTTTCTGTTCCAGAATCAAGTTCTGTTTCTTTAGCAAGTTCAATTTATGCAGTTGGTCCTGTCGGTCTTTCGAAACGTTCAGCAGGTTCTTTTGCAACCAAAATATTTGCAAATTCTTGATTTTCTCCTGGAGTTCCTCGATGTGTTTCTCCAGGGTAAGAAGACGAACTTCTTGCGGCGAAGCTAACGTTCTCGTTTGGAACCTTTCCAGAATGTCTTCTAACTTTTTGCTCAGAACGGTAACGTAGCGTTCCTTTTTAAGGAACACATCAACGAACTTAGGCGGAGCGCGATAGGGAACTAATATGGCTAACTTAAATATCGGGTCGTCAGTGCCGTTCTAATTTTATTTAAAACGTGTAAAAATATAGTGTGGGGTAGACGAAATTATATAAAATATAGTCTGGGTTAAAGAAATATATTTCCAATAAAGATAGCTAAGTCGCAAAGCCAACTAACACCTTACCTTCATATTGCGACTGCACATAGTAATTCGACTTATCCAAATCAAATTTCCTATCCTTCTTCTTCGTCAAACTATCGTACAAGTTTGAAATTTTATTCTGCAAGTTATTTATATTGCGTACCACCATCCTTTCCTGCCTCTTATACTCCTCAATTTCGTTACTAACTTTCAGATTCTTCTGTTCCAAAATCAGGTTCTGTTTCTTTAGCAAGTCCAATTTATGCAGTTGGTCCTGTCGGTCTATCGACACGTTCAGCAGGTTCTTTTGCTCGCGCAACTAAAATATTTGCAAATTCTTGATTTTCTCCTGGAGTTCCTCGATGTGTTTCTCCAGAGTAAGAAGACAAACTTCTTGCGGCGAAGCTAGCGTTCTCGTTTGGGATCGTTCCAGAATGTCTTCTAACTTGTTCAACACGGTAACGTAGCGTTCCTTTTTACGGATCACATCAACGAACTTAGGTGGAGCACGATGGGGAACTAATATGGCTAACTTAAATTTCTGTTCGTCAGTGCCGTTCTAATTTCATTTAAAATTTGTAAAAATATACTGTGGGGTAGACGAAATTTTATAAAATATATAGTCTGGGGGGGGGGGGGGGGATATATTTCCAATAAAAATAGCTAAGTCGCAAAGCTAACTAACACCTTACCTTCATATTGCGACTGCACATAGTAATTCGACTTATCCAAATCCAATTTCCTATCCTTCTTCTTCGTCAAACTATCGCACAAGTTCGAAATTTTATTCTGCAAGTTATTTATATTCCGTACCACCATCCTCTCCTGCCTCTTATACTCCTCAATTTCATTGCTAACTTTCAGATTCTTCTGTTCCAAAATCAGGTTCTGTTTCTTTAGCAAGTTCAATTTATGCAGTTGGTCCTGTCGATCTTTCGACACGTTCAGCAGGTTCTTTTGCTCGCGCAACCAAAATATTTGCAAATTCTTGATTTTCTCCTGGAGTTCCTCGATGTGTTTCTCCAGGGTAAGAAGACGAACTTCTTGCGGCGAAGCTAACGTTCTCGTTTGGGATCGTTCCAGAATGTCTTCTAATTTGTTGTTCAACACGGTAACGTGGCGCTCCTTCTTCCGGAACAACATCTCGTAGTTAACCTTGCTGGCTTGAATGCCGTCGGCTTCGGCTTCTAGCTGCATTCTTTGCCCGTCCACGTCTGTCATCAGTCGCTCGTTTTCAGAGTTGGTGTATTTTTGGGCTTCGATCTCCGTCGCTATCAAGCTTTGTTTGTTCTCCGCCTCGTTCATGATGATTTCCAGGTCTCTTTTGCGTTCCTTGGTGGTGTTCAGCATCCGGTATAAACTTTCGGCTACCTGTTAATAAAATAAAAAATATATAAGTCGTTAGTTCTTAAATATAGGGTGATTCACGGCGATGGCACGTTAGAAGTTTGTGGAGAACCGGTGTAATAATTTTTTTTTGAAAAAATGGGTTTTTGAGATAAAATCACCTGATCCATCTATCAAAAATATTTTCAGCGTTACACTGTTGCCGCATCATTTAAAAAGTGGTAGCGTCTTTCTTATTTTAAACGGAACACCCAGTATATTATTACATTTTTGGAAACTACTTTCATATCTCATAATTTTTCTATTATATTCTCTACCTATCCCTAATAGTTTTTAAGATAAAAAATACATGTTTATAATAGACAAAAACATGATTGTGAATAAGCATTGGTAAAATCACGAATTAAATATTTTTAAAGTTGGAATTTAGAAGTTAACTAAAAGTCGATATATTCGATCTGTCTAAATAAACCGATTGGTTATTACATAGGGAGAGCAAAAATATTATTTATTTCCGTTTGTTATAAAATTGTTCAACTCTTTGTTATTTTAAATTCAACCCTATGTATTTTACTTAAAAAATCAAAAGATTAATAAAATTGCTTCTCAACGATATATCATATTCCTATAGCTAAATCATCCGGTTTCTTAAGTAAAGCTATTAGTCTAAGAGCTATACAGGAACGTTTTCGAGAAAGTATTTTAAGATGTCTGGCTCTTATATTATATCAATATATCTTTTACTATGCTCTCTGGAACAGCATGCGGCCCGTCTGGCTGCCGATACCCGTTGCGTTCACTACTGCGCATCGGAAGAAGATCCTATATTTTTTATTAATTTAGTCCGATAAATTCTAGTATTGAATATAAATCAAACATGTCTCCATAGCGCAGTGCGTACAGTTTCCGACCACGAACCGATGATTCAGAGTTCGAATCCGGGCCAGGGCAAAGACTTTTTTATTTTATTTTCGTTTATATTCTAATAGTAAAGTAATAAATAATTCTGGTAATTTAAAAAAAACAAATATTTAATACTTTACTATCAGAATATAAACAAAAATAAAATAAAAAAGTCTTTGCCCTGACCCGGATTCGAACTCTGAATCATCGGTTCGTGGTCGGAAACTCTACGCACTGCGCTATGGAGACATGTTCGATTTATATTCAATACTAGAATTTAAAGGACTAATAAAAATATAGGATCTTCTTTCAATGCGCAGTAGGGAATGCAACGTTTACCGGCAGCCAGACGGGCCGCATGCTGTTCTAGAGAGCATAGTAAAAGATATATCAAAGAGCCAGACGTCTTAAAATACTTGTTTTTCCGACGTTGCTAGCTCTCGTACTATATTTAAATATTAATAATTCTATTATTTTAGTTTAATTTCAAGAATTTCGTTACCATGACAATTTTAGAAATTTAGCCATAGACAAACAAATAAAAAGAGACTGGCAAATTAAATGGCAAAGAGAGGGACAACGTTCCCGTAGCGCAACTCAGAACGCAAAATTTCGTTCTATTTATGTTGATCTGCGCATTGCGTCTATTGGGCCCACTATCTCATTCTAATATAACAAGAGAGAAAGAAGCAGCCATATAAAACGTAATTTCTAAATAGAAATTACTGAAATTAGAGCAATCGCCTTTCGTTTTCGTCATCATGACAACCAAGATGACAACATCATAACAATTCGTCATGTTTGTTAATTTTTCTTTTGGTGATTTACCTTTTTTTCTAAACTCTCCATTTTATTGATTTATGAATATGGATAGGGAACAAATTCCTTTGTTCCATATAGGTATTTATATTTTGTTACTTATAATTTTAGGTTATACTAATTGTTATTTTATTTGCTGAATGAGCCAGTATCATCTATTTTTTTTTAAAAAATCCTATCACCGGTTCTCCATAAAGCTACACGCACACTGGTGCGATCACGGCCGCGATTACTATCTCCACGCGGCCGCGGCCAATTGGTGCTGTAAAATACATATGAGCCGTTTCACATTGGCGCGATCGAGTTTTGGAGACGAAGCGGCCTGGCTGCGTTCTATTCTGCGGTGGCGATCAGATTCAACTTGTCGAGTTTGATCGCGTGATCGCGACCCAACTGATAGGAATTTTCCGTTATTTTGTGTGTTTTTTCTTGTTGCAATTTAGAAATTGAGTTAACAGAGCAGCTAATTATGGCTGTAAAAATACACAAAATTCTATATGGTTTATCCGATCCAAGTTACAAAATTAATCGAATTAAAAATAAAAAGTTTGAGGCAAAATTGGAGTTGCAATTGGATTGGATAGTACATATGTATACATTTTTATTGTTTAAGTTTAAATATTGTAGGTAAATATTTAAGAATGTTTTTTTTCGGTATATATAATTCACATTTTTAATTTGTACCTATATATACCTACAGGATAGCTCACTACATATAGGTACGGCGGTGAACGTGAACGCGTTGGTGTGTGCTAGAATGATCGCTCATGTTATCGCTGCCTTGATCGTGATCGTGATCGCGGCCGTGATCGCACCAGTGTGCGTGTAGCTTAAACGTCTAACGGACCACGGCCGTGTATCACCCTGTATAAGTCTTTAATTCTTTATTAGGTTTATTCACGGTAAGTACCTAACCTTACATAAAAAAATTGGCGCCGGGAGGCACGTATAGCCGCCCATACTAAAATATGTTAATATCTGCGAAAACTGCGACTTTGACTAATTTTGATGTTATTACAAATTTTGTTGCAAATATTATTCCTAATCTTAATTTGAAAACCGCGTTTGGCTAGCTACTGTAATTTTGGAGTTACGATTTTTTTAAATTTTTAACCCCCTCCCATACCTCTTTACCAACCCCCCACCCCCACCAAAAACTAATGGCCAGATTCTCGGGTGCCACAGTATTTTTGTGCCAAATTAGGTTAAAATAAAATCGGTTCAGCGGTTTTTGAGTTATCGTGTTACAGACGGACAGACGGACGGACAGACAGACAGACAGACACCATGAAAATATTTTGTATTTAGGTCATTTTGAGTGAAATTAAAAAACCCGATCCTAATAGCACAGAATGTCTAGCTACGCAACAGAAAATACTCGAAATGAAAGAGCTAAAATTGCACAAATAAAATACTAGATGGCGCGACAATATCATAATCAGAATATAATTGGAAATTTTCAACTTTCGGTTTTGGATCGACGTAGATCGACGGCACGTCGACGGCCTTGAAGCTCGGCAAAATATGCACAGTTGCCAGATTCAAACAGACTTTAATTGGCATCCCATTCTTTTTCTGGTGTATAATAATTTCTTTCTATTCTTAGTTTCTTGTTAGATACACTTATATTAATTATTCGTTTGGCTTTTAAAATTAGAATAAATTAATAAAAATAAAAAAATAAATTAGAAAACATATGCTCTCAAAATACATTTTTAATATACACTACTTTATTATGTTAACTAAGAAAATAACTTTAATTACCTTTAAAATTAATAATATACAGGGCGATTGATAGTGATATTTATTAATGCTGAAACGTTAGTAATGAAATATACGTTTAATAATAATGGAAATGATTTATTAAAATGCAGTACAAAAATTTTAATTGACTAAAAAAATACTATAGTAACAAATTTTTTCTGTTTACCACGTTATTTATATAGACCTAGGTAGATTTTTTTGTCACGACATCGTACAATAAATTAAAATTCGTAAAATAAATTAAAATTATTAATTAAACAAATGTTTATAAAGAAACACAAGTATATCAAATTTGGGCCCAATCGAACGCCAGGAAATGGTATCGTAATATGGTACTACATTATGGTACCCCTTGATATGCTTCATGGTACCATAATATTGCAATGTCATCAAAAATACGTAAGTATAATCAAATATGAGCCCAATCGAACGTCAGGAAGTGGTATCGTAATATGGAAGGTAACTTAATATTCCATATTAAGGTACCACTTTATATATGCATCATAGTAGATGCGTGGAAGTGGTATCGTAACAGGAAGTGGTATCTTAATATTCCATATTAAGGTACCACTTTATATATGCATCATAGTAGATGCATCATAGTACCATCATATGTCACCGAAGATCCTTACTATACCAAGTTAAGCCCAATCGAACGCCAGGAAATGGTATCCTATTTGGTACTATTATGGTACCTCATGATATGCTTCATGGTACCATAATATTGCAATGTCATCAAAAATATGCAAGTATATATCAAATATGAGCCCAATAAATAAACGTCAGGAAGTGGTATCATAATATGGTACTATAGAAAGTACCAATTTATATGCTCCATGGTGCCATCATATTACGATGTTACCGAAGATACGTAGTATATAAAGTTTAAGCTCAATCGAAAGCCAGGAAATGGTATAGTAATATGGTACTACATTATGGTACCCCTTGATATGCTTCATGGTACCATAATATTGTAATGTCATCAAAAATACGCAAGTATAGTCAAATATGAGCCCAATCGAACGTCAGGAAGTGGTACTATATTAAGGTACCACTTTATATGCATCATAGTACCATCATATTAAAATGTCACCGTAGATACTTATACTATACCAAGTATAAGTCCAATCGCACGCCAGGAAATGGTATCGTATATGGTATTATTATGGTACCTCTTGATATGCTTCATGGTACTATAATATTACAATGTCACTGAAGATACGTAATATAAATATACCAAGTTTAAGCCCAATCGAACGCCATGTATCGTAATATGGTACTATATTACGGTATCACTTGATATGCTTCATGGTACCATAATATTGCAATGTCATGAAAAATACGCAAGTATATATCAAATACCGTATGATACCGAAAAAAAACGGCGTCCAGTTGGCTGGGAATAGACGATCGATGACATTTCCCATATAAATTTACACATAAAATGACAGCGATTTTCATTTCATAGCCATCGCTAACGCCGTTTTTTCCCGATCATACGGTATGAACACAATCGAACGTCAGGAAGTGGTGTCATAATAGTAGAACAATGCTTATTATATTGTCGCCGAATTACAATCAAAATTTAGAATTCAGTTAGAATCAAACGTCAGGAAGTGATTTTAATTCAGCTCGTAAAATTTAACTCCAACTAACATGGCAAGTTAAATACTTAAACGTTTGAAAAAAGAGCTCTAATCTATTTTAATATGTTTAAATGATGTAGCAAATTTGAACGTAGGCTTTATCAGGAAGTATTACAATATAAATTACACAATGGCAACACTGCATAAAATTATTTTAAATTTCGTTTGTAGAAAACTGTTTTCTTTTAAATTTATCGCCCTCTGTTATGTAATAGTGAAACTACCGCATCAAAATATCTGATTTGGAGACAGGCTTTAAAAGTCTGCCTCCTTTTGAGACCTACGATTTTTTACATGTAACGAGGCTTCTGTTGCTTAGCTAGATATTCTGTCCTAATAGCCTACTATACCTATTGGTATGGTCGGCTAAAAAACTACGTATATTTGATATCAATTAAACTTTTAGTTACGTAATCGATGGCGCGATTTTTAAATTGTTGCCAGCCATGGACATATTCTGGATAGTTCTGCTTTAAAAAATGTCAACTTGTCACACTTATTTATTTATTTCCGGACATTGTCATTCGACACTTTAGTTTTGTATTACGAGTTTTTCATTTAAATAAATAGTGTTATAATACTATAAACTTAAAAATGTTTTCTAGCAGACCTTGCAGTCGAACATGCTTCTTTTTAGAACCCCTTTTAGTGCGAAGTGTACAAGACAGCTTAATAGCCGTAAAAAACTAATGCTAACTTTATTAGAATATTTTGAACGGGAAAGCGGTAGTAATGGCCCTTTATGTCCCTCAGGTGCTGTTAAGAAGGTGAGTTTTGTTGATGTAAATAATAACCGTTTATATATTTATAATTAATTTATTTTTGTTTCCTAAAATATTTTGATTAAAAGAAAATATGTAAAAGTAGGCAACGCTATGCCGGTCAAGGTTAATCACGTGACTAAAAGTTTATTTGATATGAACTATACTTACTAATACGTACCTTGTCATTGGCGGCCTGATTCTCTATAATTTCAAGTAATTTTCGCTCTAATGCACTCTTTTTTGTATAAACCTTGTCATAATCCTTCATTATTGTAGAAAGAACCGTCCGTTTATAGTTATTTTCCACAACTATCCTGTCTATGTCTTTTTGTGTTTGATCTGAAACCAAAATTAAAATTTCAAATATCTACCAATAATTGATAGAAACCGTTCAGCACAATTAGATACTAAATTATAGTCTGGAAACGTTCTATCCTTTTTTAATCTTTGTATAATTATTGTTAATTTTTGACAAGTTCTATATCTACTTATAGTAAATAACGACTAGAGATTGACCTTGCCAAAAATATCATCGATTGTCATTCCCTGCAGCCAGCCATTTTTCGTATACAGGGTTGTACACCATATACGACACGGAGTATTGTAGCTAAACGAATAGATTTTTACAAATTGTAAGTTTTGGGTTCGTTGAAGGACGATTAGAGCTACAATCTAAAAATATTTTTACAAGATACAGAGTGTCCCAAATAAATAAAAAAATATCAAAATTGTACTTTTTAAATGGCCCTGTATATTATTACATTTTTAGTTTCTACGATTAAAATAAAGGTAAATTTGATTAAGGTTTGCCACATTTTAATCTTACCGTTTTTGAAATATTTAGGTTTCTGTCAAAATACAGTAATAATTTTAATGCTTAATTTCTCTAAGCGTATTTAAGTTTTTAAAACCATATATTGTACTGAAGTATTTCTATTTACTAAATTTTGTGTTGCAATAATAAAAATTATACTACCTTATACAGAATCTCTAAAAATATATTTTAAATAATTACTAACTTTAAAGGACAATAACTAGTTTAATTTACTCTAAACGTTCTCTAACCTAGTGTGAGTACATATTATCTACATATGTAATATTAAATATTTTTATTTCTTCCGAGTGGTTGTACTTCCTAGGTTGACTCTTGTGTGAGTATGCTTTTATTTTAAAGAAAAGAAGTTTAATTAAATTAAAATAAAAAATAATTCTTCTACATATATAAATTAAAATAAATATTAATTTCCTACAATATATAAATTTGAAATATAAATTAAAATTCAACATATAGGTGCTAATTAAAAAAATAAAAAAATAAACATAATTCTTAACTTGTTCCTAACTAACATAACTAAAAAAATTATCCTACAAAATTGAATATCAACATATACAGATTGAAATAATTAATTCTTAACTTACATTACTAATACAAAAAATAAATAAAAAAATATATCACTCAAAATACCAATTCTAATGCTTAAGTAAATTTCTTTGAATTGTGCATTGAGGTATGATTTGATTATTGCCTTGTTTTTTCTTTCAATTTATCTAATTATAGCTGATTATACGGCTCCCCTCACCTTATGATTTTGGTCTAGTTGTTTTTAATTTTTCAAATTTAGCATACCATATTGTTATCTGCGATTGAACAATTTTTGTTATAGATATAACTTTTTGACTTTGTAAAAAAAATTTTGACTTTTTAATTTGTTGTGATTGTATTTTATAAATTTGACCTCTGTAATTATTTTAGCTTTTGGGCCTGATAATGGGAATAGTTTAAATTCCCGAAACATGTCGCCCCCCTTGCTTTTTTGAAGCATTAAAATTTAAATTAAACAACTTAAAGATTGTGAGTTATTTATCCTTTTATACCCGCCTTCAAAGGTTTTGCTTTGATAGTTTAATTTAAATGGAACACCTTGTATATTTTATGAGAATCAGATGCACAATTTAATTGTCTACCAAATTGTATTATACCATTCTTTACCTATCTCTTCAAGTTTTCGTAGAAAATTCATTTTCTTATAATTTAGACTAGTGATGGGAAAACCGATTAATTTCAATAATAATCGAGTACTCGAGTATCAAGTGATTGCAATAACCGAGCGATAGTTCGAGCGAAATGTCACTCGTATTTAAAAATACGGTTTTCATCTGTCTCTTGCTGTAAGTACTCGCTAACGCCAAGTGCCAAGCAATAAGTTGCGTGGGCACTGTGCGCATGGCACATAATCTTTCGATAATGACAGGGCAAGTAAGTAAGCGGCGAGCGATTCGCTTGATCTTGATTTAACATAAAACATAATATACCGGGTGCGTCTCAAAAGTGGCTCACCCCTATAACTTTTTTATTTTTTTCAGATAAAACAACGAGATTTGGTATGTTAGTATATGACATAAATTAGGATTGATTGGCATATTCAATTGTTTTCGGTCACTTCCGGTTTCACCGGAAATGACTACAACTTTTAATTTTTAAATGGCACCCTCGGTATTTTTTTACTTTATTCGGTAGAAAGTGACACTCTGAATAGAATGACATATCATATGCCAACTTTTGACATTTTCGCATATGGTTTATTTGAAATTGTAATATGCGGTTCATAACGACAATTTGACTCGAACTGCCAAGTGTGTGGTATCAAATTATTCGTAAAAAAAATCTTTTTCGAAATATGCTAATGAGCCACCCTCGTTCCATTTGAAAAAATCGAGATATGATCAAAAATACGATTTGGGCATCTTTTAACCGGCCAGGACAAGATACTAAAAACATTAGACGATCAAATCTATTTTTCCAAGGGTCCTTGATTAAAAATTAGTGTTTTTAACACAGCCATGGCACTTTGACTGGCCAAATTTAAAATACAATTTGTTTTTGAGCGAATATGTCAAAAGTTGACATCATACGTCATTCTATTTAGAATGTCATTTTCTATCGAATAAAGTAAAAAAATACCGAGGGTGCCATTTAAAAATCAAAAATTGTAGTCCTTTCCGGTGAAACAGGAAGTGACAGAAAACAATTGAATACGTCAATCAATCCTAATTTATAATTTATGTCATATACTAACATACCAAATCTCATTTTTTTATCTAAAAAAATAAAAAAGTTATAGGGGTGAGCCACTTCTGAGACGCATCCGGTTATATGGCATCGTATAAATTTGCTACCTGCAATGTATGTAGAAAATTCGCTCGGCTTTTTATCGAGTATGTCACATTAAAATGGGATTTCAATTTATTTCATTCTAGAATCGCTTGCGTTCGTCGCTTGGTACTCGTCACTTGCATCGCTCGTTCATAATCGAGCGATGTCGGTTATTTCAATCGAGTACTCGAGCGAATTTTCGCTCGAGTTATCCCATCACTAATTTAAACCTCATTTATCGCAATGCAATCGCAAGGAATATTGTATATTACTTTTTTATCGGCCAATCCGTTACTTGGTGATGATTTTTTCAACCAAAATATAAGATTAAAAGAACAAAGTGTGCTCAAGTTTCAAGCTAATTTTTGTTTGTTAGGAATTTAATTTGGCTATAGTTTCGACGTCTTTGATGACATGCACCTACTACTGATTTTTGTAAACGTATCAACAACGGTTTAAAATCTTTTAGTTTTTCCATATTAGGTATCTGTCAATATGTTTTTTAATTAAATCGTACATATAATTTTTCAAATTAATTATTAAATAAATTTTATGATAACAACATAATCACTTACCAGCCATATTTTTATAAGTTGCGGCGACTTCCATATGTTCATTGTATTTCTGAAGTTGTTCGTCTAACAGTTGCTTGCAATTGGACACATCTAATTCAGCTCTCGCCTTGTTCAACACCAGACGTTCGTTTGTGTTCATCTCTTTTTTTGTTAACTTTTTCGTCTTTTCAATTTCGGCGATTGCGCTCTTAATTTGTTCACGGATTTTGCGAGTCTAAAATAATAAATAATATCAAACATAAAAGTGTTCATCATAGTTTTTTAAGTTATGGAGCATTTCTACATAATACATATACAGACAGACTCCAACGAGAACGATATCGAAATAAAATTTTGGCAGCATATGTAGGTTAATTGAAAGCATTTTATAAAAATATATAGAGTTATACAGGGTGTCCCCAAAAAAAGTTACACATCAAAGTTGTGTTTTTTCTAATGGAACACACAATATATTAATTGATTTTCGGATTCTAGGGAAAAAATAATGGTGAGTTTTATTAAAGAAGCATATACCTAAAATGTAAGGATTTTGACATATTTCACATTTTGTGAAAATGAAGAATAAATTTTAAATTTCGATAACAGCTACTTAAATTTTAGTTGACCTTGTATAGCCTGATATTTAATTACACTAACCATTTTATGTTAAATCAAATTAAAATTTGACCCAAAAAGTTACACAGGGTGAGGCAAAATTAATATGGAACATTAGTCACTTTTTAAAGCAACTTTTTATTTTAAATGGAACACCCAGTATATTATTCCGGTGTTCAATGGGGAATTCATATATCTTCAAGACATTGGTTGCCTACCCCAGACAAAGATTTTTCTAGATATCTTAATTTTTATGATTTTGCGTCAGTATATCTTTATTATTTGAAAAAATTTAGGTGCCATTTAAACATCAAAGGTTATAGTCATTTCCAGTGAAATAGGAAGACTAATGCCCACTTGCACCGTTTGTATAAACTTTGTTTAAAGGCTAAACAGTGATTAACTAGATAGTTTTATTATAGTTAATCACTGTTTAGCCTTTAAACAAAGTTTATACAAACGGTGCAAGTGGGCATAAAACTAATTGAATACGTCAATCAATCCCGATGTCTATTCACATACTAACATATCAAATTTAATTTTTTATCTGAAAAAATTAAAAAGTTATAGGGGTCAGCCACTTTTAAACAAACACCCAGTATACTCCTACATTTTAAATATTTTAAAATGTTTTTATAATGGACTTGGGATTATTACGACGTTGTTATATATAACCAGTATTTTTTATCCAAAATGGTTTATAAAAAATTAATTTAAAAAGGTCAGAAAAAATTTCATTGTTCAAGAAATATACAAGGTGGTCCGAACTGTATTCCGGAAACTTCGGCAACATATTCTGCAGATAAAAATCAGCAATAAAGTTCTTATAAATGTATGTCCGGAGGATGTAGAAGTTTCATTTTTATTTCGATTTTTTCCAAATAATTTCTGAAGTAACATCAATATTTCGATAAAAATGGGTCTCTGGGAGTTTCTTAACATAAGAAATTTTATTTTGATGTCAATATGTTTCCTAATTGTAGGGGGCGCCACCTACATATTTTTTAACCAGTTTGAAGAATAATAACTTTTTGTCCGTACCTGTATAAAACTACTGAATAAAAAAATATATATTTAGGATGTTTTTTACGTAAAAAAGGTCTCTTGGTAAAAATCGTTACGAGTAATGGTTCTCGAGATATTTGTAATCGAAATTATCAATACCTGTCTTCATTGACATAAATTAAACATGTTGACTAAATAGTTATTAGACTGAAATCATAAATTTGAAATATTTTTGTGCCAAAAGTTCAAGAGAAACTGTTGTATCATAATTTTTTCGAAAAAAAAACTATGATCAATTTAAAAAAATAAAAAGTTCCCAAATTCATAATTTCAGTCAAATAACTATATCTACTCAACATGTTTATTTTTTGTCAATAATGACATGTATTGACTATTTCCATTCTAAATATCTTGAGAACGGTTGCTAGCAGAGATGACCAAGAGACATTTTTTACGTAGAAAACACGGAAATGTATATTTTTTCACGCAGTAGTTTTATACAGGTACGATCGAAAAGTTATTAAACTTCAACACAGTTAAAACACATGTAGGTGGCGCCCCCTACAAATAGAAGTCATATTGACATAAAAATCAAATTTCTCATGTCGAAAAACGGCCATACACCAATTTTCATCCAAATATTGACTTTACTTCGGCAATTATTTGAAAAAAATCGAAATAACAATGAAACTTTTACACCCTGTATCTCCAACACTAAGCACTTTAGGATATAAGTTTATACAAACTTTTTGCTTATTTTTATCTGCAGAATATGCTGCCGAAGGTTCCGGAATACAGTTCGGACCACCCTGTATATGTATATATTTTTTGTAATAAGTAATTATATGCTTTCAACAGACAGATCCAAGAGATGACAGAGAAAACACTCTACTTTTAAATTTAAGCGAAAGACAAACCGAAAAATAAAAGTGACCCAATGTTCCGAAAGGTCTTTATTTCAAGTTTTCTATTGCAAATATCCCCCATCTTCGTCTATAAATACTTAAATCCATAAATACCTCTGTTCTTAAACATTCAACGATTCTGTCTCGAGATCCAATTGCTACCACCACCGAATTCCACGAATGCATAAGACATCGGTATTCAGCTTGCAATGCTTCCAAATGCGTGTTACCCGTCGTTACTCTTTCTTCGAGTTCCCTTTGTTCAGTTTCTGACAAAAAAATAATAAACGCGCATCAAGGATATAAAAACACACATATAAAAATATCAACAACTTAAATAAAATTAAATTTCGGGGTACATTGTACAGCGTGGTCGAAATTGGTCTGTTTTAACAGAGAAAACCTATTTCCTGATTAGATAGAGCAAAACCGACATAGATGTCATGGGCTCGATTTCTGAGACACGTTTAATGACGTAAATCGCCTGTAGATATTTTCACTGCCAACTGAGATACGGGGTCTTTTTTAATTTTTTACCATTTGGAAAATTGCCTATAACTTTTGTATTTCGCGGTTTAGTCAGTTTTTTTCTATACTTGCCCTTTTTGTCAGAAATGATAAAAAATATATTTTTTTAAATGGAAATCGCCGTTCGCTATGAACTTAAAAAAATGCCGGCATTTAACCCTTTCCAACGATATTAAGTTATGTGTATTTATTTCTAAAAATGAGAGAAATGTTTTTTATCTTTGTATCGAAGCGGGTCTTGATTTTGTGTTGACCTTGTTGCCTAATTATTTTTTATCACAATTGAATATTCTATATTTTTATTTATCTGCATAATTAAAGACTTTTGAAAAGGTAAATCAACATTCTGTATTAGTATTACCAATTATAATTAAAACGCCACGGTTACAGCTGTACTATTAAATGGAGAATTTGGAGAGAATTTGATTGGAAAAAGGGGCCCCATATCTTAGCCTGCTAAGTCCTTTGATTTAACCCCTTTCGACATTTTTACGGGGGAAATTAAGACCTTATTTATAAGGGAAGAACCGTTGGAACGAGAGAAGAATTGCAGAAGGCTACTAGGCAAGCTTTTGGCATTAGCGTAACTAGCAATTCATACGGGGGGGGGGGCTAGGGTTGAAGCCAGGGAGGCCTAGGGATTTTATTTTTTAAAAACTGAATAATAATATCATTAAAAATAAATACATTTTTTGAATAAATCATTTACATGCATGTCTCTATCAATAAATTTAATTTATCAATCCCGTTCTATTTGTTTGTGTCTCATTTATCAACCCCGTGTTCCTGTGGATTACTTAACACTTAAATACCTACAAATTTTGTAAAAAATAAAAACTAACACATATTTTTTGAACACAGAACATAATATTAACTAAATAAAAATGGAAAAAATAATTTTCACAATTAAATAAAAATTAATATTTAGCCAAGAGTTATCGTTCAGTCAAAATTCAAGATTTCCCTGGGGGGTGCCCAGCAGTACCTGGGGGGGGGGGGCCCGGCGCACCCCCGGGTACCCCTGTAGTTACGCCAATGGCTTTTTGCACTTATTACACCAGTTCGCCTAATAAATCGCTGTAACTCTGTGCGCAAAAGATGTTTATTGTGTATTCGAGAAGGAGGTGCTGTTTGAAGATCTTTGAGGTTTTTTCTAGAAAACTACATTCATCACTCAAAAATACGTTTTTTTAGTTTTGTTCTTTGTTTATTGTACCGATTTCAATTGTCATTAATAATATAGAATATTAATTTACCTTTTCAAAAGTCTTTAATTATGCAGATAAATAATAATATAGAATATAAATTGTGACAAAAAATAAAAAGGCAAATAGATCAACACAAAATCAAGGCCCGCTTCGATATAAAGATAAAAAACCTAATATTTCTCTCATTCTTAGAAATAGATACTCATAACTTTCTATCGTTGGAAAGGGTTAAACGCCACCATTTTTTTAAGTTCATAGCCAACTATGATTTCCATTTAAAAAATATATTTTTTATCATTTCTGACAAAAACTGCAAGTATAGAAAAAAACTGACTACGCCACTGAATTATGCTTAAAAAAGTACCTTAAGAACGTTTTTACAGAATTTTATTATACCGCGAAATAAAAAAGTTATGGGTAATTTTCAAAATGGTAAAAAATTTAAAAAGACCCCGTATCTCAGTTGGCAGTGAAAATATCAACAGGAGGTTTACGCCATTAAACATGTCTCAGAAATCGAGCCCATGACACCTATGTCGGTTTTGCTCTATCTAGTCAGGAAATAGGTTTTCTCTGTTAAAACAGACCAATTTCGACCACCCTGTACAGGTTGTCCCATTTTTGTGTTTTACAGAGTTTCTAGTTTAAGAGCAGCGGTACAAAGATACGGTTTTCACAGTTGCTACTTTTTTATGAAATCTAAATTCTCTCATCTAAAGATGGTAAACACATATTTGATGCCGCTGTTAAAAATTTACGATAAAAATATATGAAAAAAAAAGACTTAAATCTTTTTTAATGACTTAATTTTTTTCTATTTCGGAATAAAGACTTAAGTCACAAGTCATTTTGAAAATGACTTAAATAATTTTAAGTCTTAAGTCAGCTTTCAAAATATGATTTAAATCAAATGATTTAAGTCATTAAAATGATTTAAGTCAAAAAAAAACTTAAGTTTTCTGTGAGCTCTGGGTTCATTTAGTAATTCAACCATGACCATAACACCCAATAACTCAAAGATACCGCCTTACCTTTTAATTTACTTTGAATATTCATTGTTTCAATTTCACTTTCCAATTTCCATATGGCACACATCACCTTGTACAATTGAGCGTCTTGTTTTCGCTTTTCTTCTGCCAGTTTTAAATTGTCTTTTCGGGTTTTTTCGGCGATACGTTGATTTACAACAAGGTTTGACTCTATTTTGGACTCCCATTGCGAAACCTAAAATAAAACAGCAATTTTTATATATTATTCTTGAATATAATTATATTATATTAAGGGCTGGCAAAGGTTAGTCTTGGGTCGAGATTTCCGTATGTAAGAAGACTACAATGCGTTTATAATGTACCTACTGAACAAAGAGAGAAGAGTAAACATGTTGCCAAACGTACGAAATAAACCGAGAAAATGTGCGCATTGCTCAGAGACGTGGAAGGGGATATAGCAGATTTGTCGCAGTTGACCGGTCGACCCAATCAGTACCTCTGTCAGTACTTAAAGTTCTACGGAAATGTGTACATCATACGTTCAGCTTCACGATTTAATTACGTCTCGTGATGCTTTATTTGTTTATTTATTAACAAGTCGTTGTAATTTTCCCTATAGCTTGAAACATTTTAAGTGCAAGTTAGGAACACTTGCATTTTTGGTAAAAATAAGTGGAATTGAGTTGGTGTTCGACAGTGGTCGCGCTATTAGATCTCTGAATTCAAAAATGGATATCTCGAACTCTATCGAAAATATCTGGAAATCTATCTTTCTTCTCTTCCTAATATCTGGAAATCTATCTTTTCGAAAAAAAATCTTTTAGAAATAAGCAGTTTGCGATCGTGATTTTACATTACTTGATAGGGCTTGATGATAGCATTTCTCTCACTCCGATTTGATAAGATCCCTATGCGATTTACTTCCACACATGTAAATACCGACCCAAAAGTAACGGTTGCCAGCACGGTATTAAAAGTAAAAGAATTATAATACTGGGTCGCTGATATGTATCCTATACATATCGGTCGATTATTAGGTATTAATAATTTAAGTACAGGGTGGCGCACCTCATTCGCCTCGGTTGATTATACGAAAACGGAATGATGATGAAACAAAATATTTTATGGGTATATGTGGAAAGGCAATGTGCATAAGTTAAAATTATTTTGAAGTGCACAGGGTATGTCAGAACTAAAATCCACACCAAAGTTATATTTTTTCTTATGGAACACCCGTTATTTTATATCTGGATCCGTGGACACAAAGTGAGGCATTTATTATAAGGATTAAACATGTTTACAAGCTTTGGTTCTTGAGATATTTAAAGATATTTAAATATGCATGCCATAATAAAAAATATTGTCAATACCCTGTACATTGATTTTCAGAATTAATTCTTGTGTTGACTTTTAAGCCAAAGAAATAAACTTTACTGAAAAATGTTATTGCTTCATTTAATGTATACAGGGGTATCAAAAATTGCTGGTCTATTTTAAGTTTATATTTTACATAAAAACTTCGTTATTTCAAATACAACACCCTGTATTTTTTTAAATAAATCGAAGCAGATTCAGATGCTCTTTCAAACTATATTAGGGTTTCCTATACCTATCTAGCTGAGATTTTGAATAAAGAGCAATTTTTCAATAAAATGGCAAGCAAGAGGGCTAGTGTGGCCATGGCAAGTTTCTAGTGACAGCTACGAGTATTTATACAATGACTTGTAGATATATGGACTTTCTATAAAAGAGCCAATTACGGCAAATTCATTTTATTCACTTCCAACGACAGGTTTCTGCCTAATGGGTTTTTTATAAACCACACTACCAGCTCTGCAAAATAGGGCAAATAGTTTTCCAAAGGAACGCTTATCAGGAAGATTCCTATTTGGATGTCTTTGAGCATAATCCCCACAAAATAAAATCACCCAAATTTTCCCCACAAAATAAAATCACTAGTAACATAATATCCATTCGTTCCGCTAGCAGATACTGTTTTATTTTTTTTGATAAAATAATGAATACTTACTTATTAAACTATTGGAGGTAAATTTAAGCAAACTGTTATAAATCTAAATAATAGTCCATAAACAAATGTCGATTTTGAAAATAGTTACTAAGTGTTTCTTGAAAATTGCCATGGCAAAACCAGCCATCTTAATTACCATTTTATTGAAAAATCGCTTTTAATTCAAAATCTGAGCTAGATAGGTATAAGAAACCCAAATATAGTTTGAAAGAGCATTTGAATCTGCTTCGATTTATTTAAAAAAATACAGGGTATTGCATTTGAAATAACGAAGTTTTTATATAAAATAAATCCTTAAAATAGATCAGCAATTTTTTTATCTTTAATATTTCCCCATCTTTAAACTCAGCACAAGAATTAATTCTGAAAAGTAATGTACGGGGTGTTAATAATCTATAATATTATATATTCTATTGTAGCATGCATATTTAAATATCTTTAAATATCTCAAAAACCAAAGAATTTAAACATATTTAACCCTTATAAGCTTATAATATATACCCTTTTTTGGGCCCAAGAATCCAAAAATGAAATAAAATACCCGGTGTTCCATAAGCAAAAATATAACTTTGGTATGGATTTTAGTTCTTAAACAACCTGTATATTTCAAAATAATTTTAAATTGTGCACGTTGCCCAAGGATACTATAGAGATAAGGATAGTTCGATTCCTATCTTCCTGCACAGTCAGTTTTTTTACGTCATCTACTGACCGAGTTGAAGTTGGCGCTAAAGATTTTAGACAGTGACAGTTATTTTTGCATTTGACGGACGAGCGCACAGTGCGCTGGAAGAAAAATGTGTACTGATAAGAATAAATAGTAGACATTCCAATTGATACAAAAATGCATGAATATTCTTTGTATTTCGATACATTTTTATCAACCAAATTTGATCGTTTTCTGCTCAGCAAGGCAGAGATCATACGAAAACAAAATATTTACAAGTGCTTATACATTTTATTAGAAAGCCAAATTATGTTGAAGATTGCCAAAGGTATGTACTTTTCTACTGTACGTATATTATTTGTTAAAATCCTTCGTGCCTTTGTTCTGCAGATATCAAACTTTCACTTTTTTTCAAATATCGATATATTGAATGATGTAGATCTTTTGAGTTACCAATAGTTACCAACACAGGTAGTCACAGTCACAGGGAGTTCAAGCTTAACAGGTTAATGCCCAAAAGATTCATTTCAATCCGATAGTATAAAAACAAACAACTCCATCAAAAGGCACTGAGTTTAAAAATTGTCTTAGATACTTACTATATATGAATTTACAATTACCGAGTGTTACAATTAAAATATCTATCTTATTCATTATTTTCAAAATAAAATATATTTTTTAAAATAAATTATAGAGGGTGTCACAAGATTAAAAATAATTAAAAAAAAGTGCTAAAGAGTTTTTTGATATCATAATTTTATGTATTTGGCAATAGTTTACAACACGGTTTTTTGTGTGTCATGTACGAATAAAATCATAGTTTTATTATCCTGTATTTATTTATTAATAAATTAAGTTGTTAATAAATAATTAACCATATAGTTGCTATATATTAGACCATTTGCTACGTTCTTAGATTTTAAGTCCCAAAAATTGCTCTTCAGATTTTGTCCCGCTAGAATAAAGATCCGCCGCACTGTGGAGCGCTGGTCAGCGCGTGACGTAGCATTCCACGGCGACTACGACAGCGGCGATTTGACGCGATCGAACAGTCCTTTAGAATATTTTCTACATCTTTCCGTTTTCGTATAATCAACCGAGGCGAATAAGGTACGCCACCCTGAATACAGTCGGTCATAAAGTCGTGGCACATCAAAGTTTAATTTTTTCAAATGGACCCCTGTATATTATTGCATATTTCAATCCTTCCTTCAATTCTAAACAAAAATCGAGATACGCATAATGTACCTCAAAACAATTCTATTTAATTAATTTCGATTTGTGTGATTTTGATTTTGCGGAAACTGTGATAATAATGTTACGGATTCCGCGGGTCCACTAATTTAAACTCACGATAAAATACTTAACGAATTAATTTTCTCACTTTATACACAATTACTAACTTATAACACACAACAAACTAACTATTTATAAGATTCCTTCACCAAATTGTCCGATTTTCAATTTCCACGCGGTATATTCAAATTTCAAAACTTTAAACTTCCCCAACTGTCGTAAGCGCTCCTTTTATATAGCTGTGGTGAGTGTTTCGCGAACAATCTAAAATTATCGGGACGGTTCCGCCATCTACTAGTACATTCTATTGTCTGCTTCGCTTACTTGTCGACTTGATTAAGAGATGGCGCTACAACAAAATATTGTCTTCAGGTTTCTGGACACGTTGCGGTTTTAGTTGCTCGCTTCTCCGACAGATGGCGCCACATACACCTTGACAATAATATTTGACATTAGTTTTCAAATTAGCATCTATAGATGTATAAAATAGAGGTGTGTAGTTCGTGAACGAACTAGTTCCAATGAACTATTCCGACCCCGGAATGAAAGGAACTAGTTCCTGGTTTCTCAAAGGACTAGTTCCTCAGGACCTATTCCGGGATCGAGACTGTGTCCGATATAGAATAATATGCGACGGCGACGGATCAGCTAGCGCGCGTAGCCCGATGGCAGGCAGGAGTGGGGAGTGCCAGACGTACGTTATCGGATCCGGACCTAGAGGAACTAAACTAAATAAAAGACTAGTTTACGTACGAACGGACCGGGCCAGCGCGATCGATGCTAGGCAGGAGTGGGGAGTGCCAGCCTTATGCCGTATGTTATCGGATCCGGACCTAAAGGAACTAGAGGAACTAAATAAAAGACTAGTTTACGTATGGATCAGCCAGCGCGATTGATGCTAGGGAGGCGTGGGGAGTGCGAGCCGTATGTTATCGGATCCGGACATAGAGGAACTATTAAAAGACTAGTTCACGGGAATCTATTCAGTCGGCAGATCCGAGATATAATACAAGGCGACGACGATGGATTCGGCCTTGTCTATTGCCGCAGCCGGCGCGGCGTAATTACCACAGAAAATTGTCGTGGATACTGGTTTTGATTTTTAGTTTGTTTTTTAAATATATTATGGGAATGTTTCACTTTAGGTCCCTAAAAGAAGGGTCCCTTGAAGTGAGGAAAAATGCAATTTTTCGTAAAATTTTTGTAATATTTGCTCCAATTGATTTGTGATATAGTTTTTTAAATTCTGATTTGAGTTTTTTTTAATTTTTTTATCTGCTATTCTATTTATTATCTTCTATTAAAACTTACCTATATGTTTTTAACATACACAATTACACGTCTCGTTATATCTCCGTACATTATAAAAATTATACAGATGATACTGTGAATAGTTCTGACTGACAACGAAACGCATTAGCAAGCAAGGGGGATGTCAATGTTAGTCGGGAACTATTGGAACTAAAGACCTAGTTCAAGGAACTATTCCTCTGGAGGAACTAGAACTAAGGAACTAGTTCCTCCCATGGAACTAGAATTCCCACCTCTAGTATAAAATAAGATTATATAAAATCTGAAAATTACAAAATTTTCGTTTAACATTTCATAACCAAAATTTCATAATTACAGCATGTGTATAACGATTATTGCTTAAAATTGAAGGAAGAATTGAAATATGAAATAGTATACAGGTTTTATTTTTTCTGTAGAATTACCCACTGAAGTTTGGTACACTTGGTATTTTTTGGCGCCCTATAAATTAATAAATTTTACCTGACTTATCAGTAAATTGATAGAGTTTATTTCATTCTGTAATTCCATGTTATATTTTTCAGCAGCGACCATAGCTTCTTTGGCTTCCTTAAATTTCTCTTTGCGCTCCTTAATCTGATTTTCCACTTCTTGTTTTGCAGCGTTAATATTTTCCACATCTTGCGTAATCTCATCTAAAGTTTTCTGTTGCCTGAATTGCAAAAATAAATACCAAATTATACAGGGTGCAACAGATTTATTTAGATTAATGAAGCTAAGAGTAGTTTTTTCCAAACACAAACGTGCGAATGCTCAGCGACAACAGGTCTCTTGATAGGATATACAGGGTGTCACAGGCTGAGCGTGCATTAGAAGGAAGTTTCTAGAGAACCACAATATCTAGATGGGAGATTTTTTGCACATCGTTGTATTATAATGAGATCAGATCAATCGATTAAAAACGTTTTCAATGTGGCGGCACTTCCGGAAATACCGGAAGTTGATAGCAACTTTCTTATTTTAAATGGGTGCCCCCATTTTTTATTAAGTACTTAAATTCTCTGTAACATTCTATGTATATTGATGTTAAACACTCTATACCTAACATTAACCGTTTTTGAGAAAAAGAAAATATTTAAAATTTTTGGACGAAAAAAAATACCTGTCAAAAAAATGTGTATAGCCTAAAAGTCAAATTTAGTGATAACCACAGCCACTGTGACATAAAGAGAAGACATGTGGCTATCTATTTCAAAAATGAAATTGTTCAAATGTCGTATAATAATGGCGGTAGCCGTCATGGAATTGAGCGATTAAAAAATTATCATAAATAATTTTTTTCAAATGGAAATCCACTTTTTGTATTTCACTAATGAAAAGTTTTTTTAATTCGTTACTTTTTAACTATACATGTCGTCTCGTTTAGATGTAAATAGTGTAGTCTATATTTTATTTTAAGAGTCCATTTCACTAGTCCGAAAAAGTAGCAAAATAAACGTCCGGCATTTAACGTTTTATGTAAAACTGACTAGGTATTTTTACACAAATGAAGAAGGAAATTGAAGATAAAGGATTATACTATATCCGTATTGTAGCACATTTTTAGGCAACTTCTTTATTTTTAAGATTTTGATGGTCAAACATCAACAAAATATTCCTTATATTTGGACTAAATTTTCTCGCAAATAAAGTCATAATTTAAAATTCCGTTAAAATACGGAAATAGATTGAAATTTTGTGATTACAGTGATATAGAATTTATATGGTTTTGTAACAAATTACTCGCTATTTTATGGCAAAGGCTGAAGCTCTGCAAACCTTAGTCAAAGCACGTGTGTTTGGAAATTTGAGTGTGGCTTAACACGACAGGATCGGGCTAAGCCTTAGGCAGATTTCTGAAATATAATATATATTTCCTTCGGCCACACACCCGCTTTACCCGACCCCTGAGAGCGAACCGAAAGTACAGCGTAATAGACTCTTAAGGCGGGCGGCCACTGCGAGCGAAACTAAACTAAGCCAAGCGAAGATAAGATTTTTAAAAATCAGCTCCCATACTTTTAAATGCATCAGCGGCCACTTGAGCGAAACTAAACGAAAATATGTGAACGAAGATTCAAATCGTAGCTTAGTTTCGCTTGTTGTAGTTCGTGACAGGTTCCAGCGAATTTTTCGCAGCGATTAATTCAATGATAGTAGAAACACAATACGAAAAAGCATCTAACTTAGCTGACTACTAAGCGAAAATCGTTCCCAGCGCCGATGAAACTTATTTTCGTTTAGTTACCGTTTCCTTCTATATTCTTAGCTTAGTTTAGTTTCGCTCGCAGTGGCCGCCTGCCTTTAAGGTTGTGAACCTTCAACATAAAATTCCCCGTCACGTTTTAACATAATACCTGCACACAACTTGCTGGGCCTCATATACCTCAACACCTAACAGCTCTTTTTCTTCCTCTCTCTTCTTATGTTCAGCTTCGTAGTCAAATATTTCATTATTTAAACGATCTATTTGTCGGGTGTAATGATCTGTCAGAGCTTCTTGAAATCTCTTCAGTATCTCATGATCAGGGTCTAGGACAGCCTTTTCTTGAACCTTTTCTTCCGTCATCATGGTAGTCGATTATTAAAAATTACTTTATAAAATATAAAAAATCATATAGCATATGTCAGTCGATAAGAGACAAAAGTCACTTAAAACTATGATGTCAATAATGCCATAACAATAAGGTAGGTGTATAATACCATAGAAACGGTGACTAATGATTAAACACCTATGTTGTCCTCATAGCAACCAGCTAACTTCTATACAGGGTGGTCCGAATTGTATTCGGAAAACTTCGGCAGCATATATTCTGCAGATAAAAATAAGTAAAAAAGTTCCTATAGGGTATAAATATAAATGTATGTCCTAAAATGCTTCGTTTTGGAGATACAGGGTATAGAAGTTTGATTTATATTACGATTTTATCGAAATAATTTCTGAACTAATATCGATACGTGAGATATACCGGGTGCGTCTCAAAAGTGGCTCATCCCTATAACTTTTTTATTTTTTACATATATACAGGACATATATTAGGATTGATTGACGTGTTCAGTTGTTTTTCATCACTGTCTGTTTCACCGGAAATAATTACAACTTTTGGTCTATAAATGGCACCCTCGGTATTTTTTTACTTTATTCGATAGAAAATGAGACTCTGAGTAGAATGACAAATCATATGTCAACTTTTGATATTCTTGTTTAAAAAATCGTATTTTAAATTTCAATTTAGTCGTGGCTGTGTTAAAAACACTAATTTTTAATGGAGCCTTTGAAAAATAGATTTGATCGTCTAATGTTTTTCGTGTCTTGTCCTGGTCGGTTAAAAGATGTATTTTTGGGCCGTATTTTTAATATCTCAATTTTTGAAAGGAGGTCTGATGTGACACAACTCGTTTTTCAAATGGAGCGAGGGTAGCTCATTAGCATATTTGACAAATATTTTGAATAATTTGATACCACACACTTGGTATTTCATGTCAAAATGTCGATATGAACCGCATGTTACAATGTCAATAAACCATATGTGAAAATGTCAAAAGTTGACAAGTGATGCGTGACATTCTATTCAGAGTGTCATTTATTTCTATCTAATAAAGTAAAAAAATACCGAGTGTGGTATTTAAAAATCAAAAGTTGTAGTCATTTCCGGTTAAACAGGAAGTGACCGAAAACAATTGAATACGACAATCAATCCTAATTTATCATATACTAACATACCAAATCTCGCTTTTCTGAAAAAATTAAAAAGTTATAGGGTTGAGCTACTTTTGAGACGCACCCGGTATATATCACGGAATATTGGAGTGTCCCAATATTCCGTGAACATAGAACTACGTATTTTTGGAATTAAAATAAGTTCATTGGACACAATTTACCTATATACAAAAGTACTTCGTTTGTCCGCTAGAGGGCATCAAACCAAACCAAAAACACATTTTTCAGATATTTTAAGAACCATTATTCCGATTTGAATGCAATATTGGGTGTCTATGTTTAGCTAAGTGCTTTAACATTTGACTTTCACAAAAATAAAGAAAAAGTACCGGAAGGGTGAAAACTACCCCCACCCCTACATAAATTTTGGGAGCCACCGGATTTTTTTCTGTATTTGCAGTGCCTTCTATTAAAAGATCAGCCTACGGGCGAGATTTATGACGTCACGCTAGTTAGATATAACGGATTAATAAATTATATGTTGTAGAATACATGGAAAACATAATTATTCCTCAGATTTTTGGTTTGTATTTTAAAAATGATATAGTTTACATAAAATATACATAATATACAGTTAATAACTACAACATATATACCTATTTATAGTAATAAATACTTTGGCAAATAAACTATGAACCATACAAATGCAGCAAATGTTTTACAATGTACCAATAATGTATAGGTACATAAGATAATGGGTAAAATGTAAATATATTTTAAATTTTGGGGTTTGAAAGTCGATCTAATTTAACAAAAAACATTCAATATCTACTAAAAGTGATGTATTATTATTTGCATTCACAAAATTTATATGTATATTTTGCAAGTATCAATGTTCGAAAAATTATATTTACAAATACTACAATATTATCTAAAAAAAGACGTCAGCGATGGCTATGAAATGAAGATCGCTGGCATTTTATATGTAAATTATTCTGATTTAAGTTTCTCATTTTGGAAAAAAGTTGATTTAAGCTTCATTTATTTTTATTTGGTAAAAAACGTTTCGGCTACAACTATAGCCTTCATCAGTGTTGTGTCATATGAAAAATAGTGTCGAATATAATCCAAAAATTACATATACAATATAATTCACACCTCATAATGTTTACTGCAATTAATAAACTAATATAAACTTATCAAAAGATGACTACATATTTTTTAAAATTATTATTCTTAACAATAAAATTATCTACATTGACTATGGAGTACGCAGTAAACATTATGTGTGTGGTGTGAATATTTTATATGTAATTTTTTGGATTATATTCGACACTATTTTTTTCATATGACACAACAGTGATGAAGGCTATAATGTTAGCCGAAACGTTTTTTTTAAACCAAATAAAAATAATGAAAAACCAAATGAAAACTTAATCAGCGTTTTTCCCGAACCTAAATCCCAAGAAAATCAAAAAATTTAAAATATTTAGAAACAAGGTTCAAGAATATCAAATTTTCCAAGATTGTAAAATTCTAGTTAATTATTTTATGTGTACAGTTATTTAGGGAATGTCATCGATGTTCATTTCAAGCCAACTAGACGCCGATTTTTTCGATGATACGGTATAATTCTTACGTAAAATGTAAATAACATTAGACCAATTAAAACAAAGAAATATGAATTTCTTAGTATTTTTAGTAACACCTTTATTCTTAAAACTTAATTTTGTATTATGCAAATATACCAATTTTGTTGTTATTTTATTCATATTGTATTCAGCCATCACTTAAATATTTGATATTAATTTGGTATTATAAATAATCAACACTATTCATTAAAAATTAGTGAACAAAAATGTATGTTATGCTTGACAACTTGACATACATTACATATTATCAAACAAAAACACATTCTTCTTTTAAACTGTATCAGGCTTGTCTTTACAAAAATCTTTTTTAAAATTTGAACTCAAAATAATAATCTTTTTCATGATCTTTAATACACATATTCTTTATTTTTCCCTAGATCATAATACCTACTTAGGTGTTTGAATCTATCGAAGCTGAACCAACAACACTTGGAATGGAGATTCCACAATATGAATAAAATAAACATAATTGTCCAGTTTTCATTAATACCATCATGGGAGAATATTATTTTTAAATTTATTAAAGATATTTTCAATAGAATTCTCTTGATTTATAACTTCGTACCCACTTTTTCTTGCTCTTCCGGACACTTTAGGCTGCCTAGTATAACTATCCTTTCCACCAGGAACACAACAAAAAGATGAGGCATAGCACCGAAAACACACTCCACTTAAGCTTTATTGATGAATTGTTAGAGTCTTGAAAAACACACACACAAAATCACGATGAGTAAAAATGTATGGGCACTTTTAGGTTAAATCACTTACACAACGTGTATTTTTCAATTTTTCTATTTTTTATGCGAAACCGAGAGTGACCATATATCTGGTAGTAGTTTATGTCACTTAAAAAGTACTTCGTTTGTCCGCTAGAGGGCATCAAACTTAAAAAAACACAATAATAAATATTTTAAGAACCATAGAGTAAAACCAAAAAATCAACCGACAAAATGTTTAACGGAATCTTAACATTTGACTTCTAACAAAAATAAAGAAAAATACCGGAAGGTGAAAAAAAGTCCACCCCTACATAAATTTTTTAAAGAATTTTTTCTGTATTTGCATCCCTTTTAATGCCGTAACCATATAGTAAAGCCGTAACTAAGCCGTAACCGTATAATGTAATTAACTATATAAGAAATTATACCGTGGGGGAAAATTTGCGGTGAACAGGCAGTTCTAAAAAGTTTTCGAAAATATACAGGAAAATTAAAAAAAAAGTGCGATTTTTCAACATCTTTTTTAGCGAACAAACCCTCATAGACGTGTTCTTGGGGTCGAAATATACCACCCCCTGAAAATATTTGCACTTATCTAAGACTCACCCTGTATATCAATAATTGTGTTATCCTTGATGTTAGATAAAAGCAAAAAAGGTTTTTGCAACAAAACATTAGTGTGAAAATTACAATTTATTGAAAAGTAATAATTGTTTTAACATAAAAGCTAAAATCTTAAAGATACAAAACGATATTTCGGAAAAATTAAAAGCTCTGAGCCGCCATGTCATCAGCGCATATTCCCAAAAGAGCGAGGTCATCGTCTGGCGGTAGTGGCGGTGGTTCGAGAGGAGGATGCGGCAACGGCGCCTGCTCTTCTTCGTATTCGTACTGTTGCGTCTGGTACATCATGTTGTTAAAGCTTTCGTAATACTCGCCCATGGCGTTATGATCGAAATCTTGATCTGGGTATTCAGGTTCCTGAAACAATAGTATATTACAGTTGGGGGTTGGAACCTTTGGTGATACACAGCAAAATAAAACACTAAATCACCACAGTACATCAAAACACTTTTACTTTTACACTGGACGCGCGTTTCGCTAACCATGTTAACATCATCAGCAGATGATCCAGACTACTAGACTCTTGATCAAGACTCTAGTAGTCTTGATGATCACACTTGATGATCAAAACTAGTGATGGGATCACTCGAACGAAATTTCGCTCGAGTACTCGATTATTGAAATAACCGACTTCACTCGATTATGAACGGGCGATGCAAGTAACGAGTACCAAGCGACGAAAGCAAGCGATCCTAGAATGAAATAAATTGAAATCTGATTTTAATGTGACATACTCGATAAAAAGCCGAGCGAATTTTCAACATACATTGCGGGTAGCAAATTTATACGACGCCGTATACCGGGTGCGTCTCAAAAGTGGCTCACCCCTATAACTTTTTATTTTTCAGATAAAACAACGAGATTTGGTATGTGAGTATATGACATAAATTGGACTTCATTGACGTATTCAATTGTTTTCGGTCACTTCCGGTTTCACCTGACTACAGCTTTTGATTTTAAAATGGCACCATCGGTTTTTTTTACTTTATTAGAT